AAAATAAAAAAAGAAATTGGACAGTGTGAACGAATCCATCATCCAGAAACGTCCAGAGCTTGTTAATTGTAAAGGAGTTGTGTTCCATCGTGACAACGCGAGACCACACACAAGTTTGATCACCCGTCAAAAATTATTGGAGCTTCGATGGGATGTGTTGCCACACCCACCATACTCGCCTGACCTTGCACCGTCAGACTTCCACTTGTTTTGCTCTCTTCAAAGCTCCTTGCGTGGTATAACGTTCAATTCAGATGAGGCTGAATTGCACCTTGTAAATCGGCCCCTTGTTCAGTTTTTCACAATTGAAGACAGGTCCTTCTATGAACAAGGTATTATGAAGCTCACTGAAAGATGGCAAAAGGTTATCAAACAAAACGGGCAATATATCATTGATCGATCTTTGTTCTTTATATAAATAAATGACCTTTGAAAAGCATGGACAAAATGAGTCATGACTTTTCTGAAGACCCAACAATACTTACTTAGAAAAAGAATTGTAGGCATTTAAAATTAGAGGATTGTCGACAAGAATTTTTAAAACCTTTTACATTTTGAGATTGAATGATTTTCAGTTAATTTTTTTATTAGTTTCAGATGTACAAAACAATGTAATAGTTACACATTTACACCCCTCACAAAGTGATAAGCCCTCTCTCACAATCTACTACCCCTCTGACATTGTATATAGTTGTTACAATTCCATTGACACTTCCCTATGCTGTACTCCACATCCTGTGACTATATATATATGTTAAATTATAGTTGACATTCAGTATTCAGCTTCAGCTTCAGGTGTATAGCACAGTGGTCAGGCATCTACACCGTCCATGGGATGGTCTCTCTAATAAGACAAGTGCCCATCTGATAACCTACAAAATCTTTACAACATTTTGTATTATATTCCCCAAACTGTCTTTTGTATCCCCATGGCAATCTTGTGGTTACCAATTTGTGCTTTCTAGTCCCCTCACCTTCTTCCTCATCCCCAACCCCCTCCCATCTAGCAACCCTCAGTTTTTTCTCTGAGACTGTTTCTGATTAGTTTTCTCATTTATTCTGTTCTTTAGATTCCACATACAAGTGAAATCAACTTTTGCAAGGGCTCGCTTCCTCCACTGAATCCCTTTTGTTCTGCATTTATCGTGTTCTTTTTTTAAACTTTTTATTTTGAAATAATTTCAAACTTAACAGAAAGTTGCAAGAACCATAAAAAGAACTCCTGTGTACTCTTCACCCAGATTCACCAACTGTTAGCATTTTGCTAACATTCTGCCACATTTGCTCTAGCTTTCCTTCCCTCCCTCACTGCACCTCTGTATATGCACACAAATTTATAATTTTTTTTTTTTTCTGAATCACAGTGAGCACATTGCAGATGATACCATTTTCCTCCAAATCCTTCAGGGTGTGTTTCTTAAGAACAAGGACATTCTCTTCCATAGCCACGGTGTAAACAATCAAGAACAGGAGGAAATGCAACATTGATTGAAAGTATATGTCATTCACATTCTGCCAGTTCTTCTAGTAATATCTTTGTCTCTTTGGTCTCCTTTAGTCTGGGACAGTTTCTCTAATCTTTCTTATGCCTTCCCAGTGACCTTGGCAGTTTCGGAGACCACAGGCCTGTCATTTTATAGTATGTGCCTCACTTGGGTTTGTTTTCCATTCTTTGTGATTGGATTCAGGTTATGATTTTTGGCAGGAATGTCAAAGAAGTGACGTATCTTTCTCATTCTTCATATCTGAAGGCACGTGCTGTTGGCTTATCCTTATTGGTTGTATTAATTGATGGTGGCCTGATTGCTTGGGTGAGGTGGTATTTGCTAGATTTCTAAACTCTTCAAATGTACCACTTCTTCTTTGGGGTTGATAAGTCATTTGTAGGGAAATACTTTGAGACCATGTAATATGGCTGTTTCTTCCTTGGAATTCTTGTTTCAGAAGCTTGTGCACTTTTCTTCCTTTTTAGATTATAAGGTCCTTGGGAGCAGAGGTGTGGTTTTTATTTGCTCCTTTCTGTTTAAGTCCATGGCTGCCACGCATTATGAATTCCAAGAAGATAGTCTGTCAGCAGATGTTTACTGTGTGAGGCTGGGGTTAACATGATGGGAGATGGCTGGCAACCGGAACCTTCCTGTAAATAGCTCATTGTGGGGTCCGCAGAGGGAACATAAACATGATCATAGTGCAGGGTAATAAGGTTTGTGATCAGAGGAGATGTCCAGTATCAGAGCTTGTGGGAGTCAAGAAAGGCTTCCCAAGGACCAGATGACTACGCTAGGACCTGAAAGGTTGGGGAAGGTGAGGAGAACATTAACTACAGAAAGTGGGGACTGCTTCTTGGATCTGTATGTTAAACTTATGCAGAGGATTTTAGAACTAAAAAGAACCCAAGGAGTCATCTAATCAAACCTCCTTATTTTATGCTCAAGGTTATTGAGACTCAGCATTTTGGCGACTTGCCTAAGGTCACACAGCTCTGGAAGGAGCAGAGCTGGGAGTACTTATCGCTCTTCCTTGTGAGAAATAGGAAGAAATCGTGGGCGTGCTCAGCTAGGTACCCATTTTCCACAGCACTGGGGAGTTGGAAGTGATAAAGTACAGATGGATTTCCCGCCCCGTGTGTTTTCACTCACAGAGAAAAAGGCAGGAGAAGCAGCTTTATTGCCTGAAGCACAGGATTCTCTAGGAGCGTTGAACTTGGGAATGTGGCTTGCCATCAAGACTAAAATAGGGTGTTTTAGTCTTTCCTGAATTCCCATCCCCACCCCAGTCTAGAGCTTACAATCGTCCTCTGGGGAGAATTGGGTGTCGCACACAGACCCCGACCTGTCCCCAGCTTCTGGGCTCTGAGCCTTGTTAGCTCACTATAGTGGCTCAGGAGCAGGGGGACTCCCAGAGGGGCAGACAGGCAGGAGAGGACAGGAGTAAGTGGTAGGCCACTCAGCGGCCTAGGCCCGGTTTCCCAGCATCGCCAACCAGCTCACTGGTTCCTCTGGTGGAGAGAGTGTGGATAGAGGTGAGGATGTGACGACAGTTTCCTTAAAACACTGCATATTTTTAAGAAGAATTGAAACAAGTACTTGCTTCCCTGGTGAGACTATAATAATGTCTTGTTAAATTCTGAAATCTAATCCTCTCTGCATTACAACCCAAAATATGTACCTGTCTTAACGGTAATTTTTATCAATGTCTGAATGATGCATTTACGGGGGATTACCTGTAACTAAAAGTTGTTGATTAATTGAGCTTCTTTATTACTGTCTGTATTCCAAGTAGAACCTATTTTTTTATGTTTACACACTCACATACACATAAGGTAAACACACATACATGTATACATACTTGAAGTCTTCCTAGGGTCTTTTAAATGTTTTCTTTTTTACCATGTTAATTTTGTAACATGATTTTTTTCTGTATTATGATCAAGCTCTTTTTGTCATTCATTTTGCAGCTAACTTTCTTAAAATTAAACTTTGGTTGGATTCTTTCTTGTTCCATTAAATAGTAATTTACTAGGTTGTTAAGCCTATTTAGATGTTTTCTTGAAGTATCAATAATTTATTGAATTCTTTGTTTGCCCTTAAGTGAATTGCAGAGGGAGTGGTTTCCTGCGCTGTGGGCCTTTGTGTTTGTACATACAGTTAATACCCATCTCCTGTGGCTGGGCTCCATTACAGAACCAGATGCTCCACTGTAGGCCGGAGTGACCTTTCATTTCTGGGCTCACAGGGCTTTTCTTGATCCTACTCTCCCAAGTCTCCAGTGGGCAGTGATCTCCGTTGATTATCTGGTTGCGTCCATTGCTGCAGCTTCCCTCAGAGTTGGCTTTTGATCTTCAGTCTTGCAGAGTAGCAGTTCCTTTGTAGCTTTTGGAGAATACAAGATTATAAGCAAAGATTTGTTTGAAAGCATTTTTTCTTTTCCCTAGAGGGTGGTTGAGAACCAAATAAATCTTGACCTTAGGGTTTAACTATACAATAATAATTAAAGCAAAGTATAGAAGAATAGGGCACAAAATTACCAGTTGTTCTTTTGTTAGTACATTTTGGTTAATAAGTTTTTTTACTGATATTATGAAAGTTACCATCAGTATAGTGCACTGATACTAATTTTTTCAAACCATTTTGAAGCCATTTCCAACTACAATCATTGGTCATTCTTTTGAAAATTATTTTTAAGCATTGGAATCAGTTGAGAGGTAAGAACAAAAGCATTTCTTAAACATATGGTAATTGTTTTTTCTTTTCTCTTACTAAAGGTTAAAACTGCTTATAAGTGTGCATGTGTCTTACGAGATACCATAAATCCATACCTACTGCGGAGAATGAAGTCAGATGTCAAAATGTGTCTTTCTTTGCCGGATAAAAATGAACAGGTCTGTAAATCCAGGAGTTACCAAAACATTCCTAAAACACAGGCGTACCTGTCCATCCGCTCTGCTTTTCATATGCACACTTGTTGAGACTAACAGGTGTTGCAGGTGCTGTGGGGCAGGCCGATCTACATCTGTATGTACCTGTATGTACCAGGTGATCCTGCTGTGGCATCTGCCCTCAGGAGGACTCTTGCTCTCGTCCACAGGCTTTGCTCTCTCTTATTAATACACGGATTCCCAAAGCTACTCTTCTTCAACTTCTCCATTTGCCTCAAGTCCCCAATTCATTCATGCTACAAATTGTACTAGGTACCAGCCACATGCCTGGGAGGTAGCAGTGAGTGAAGCAAACACTTGTTCTCATTAAATTCACATTCATTTTTGAGGAGAGACAGACAAAAATAAATATATCAGGTGGCTGGTGGTGGTAAGTGTGAAGAAAAAATGAGGTGCAGGGTAAGGGAGATAAAGAGTGCTGAGGGCAAGGATTTGGGGAAGCAGGCTTTATAAGGGATGGTCAGAGAAGACCTCCGATAAACTGACATTTGAGCAGAGGCCTAAAGAGGGTGAAAGGGAGTTCTAGGGGATTTGGGAGGAAGAGCATTCTAGGTGGATGGGAAGTGGAGGTGTGTTGGTATGTTCAGGGAACAGCAAGGAGGCCAGAGTAGCCAGAAGGCAGGAGCAAGGAGAAGGCCCAAAGGAAGCCATCAGATCGCCCGCCAGGTCACAGAGCCCACAGGTCATGGGGAAGACTGGATGAAATTACAGGAAGATACTGAGCAAAGGAGTGACATCATCTGACTTCGGTTTTCAAAGAATCATCGTTTTCAGTTCTACCCTAGTGCTCTAGTAATAGATGACTGCACTTCTATTCAGGATCCAAAAGCGAATGCACTGCAGATTTTGAATGTTGAAGCTGTAAAGGACCTGGGACATGTGTCACCCAGGCTCCTTTCCTCACTGCTTCTTCCCTCCCCACCAGAACTCTCCTTCACGTTTGGGCCTTGGTCTTAGCATTCCCCTCACAGGCCTCCCACTCCGGCCAGTTACTCAGGACACAGCCCTCTGAGCCACGTCTAATTCTAAGTCAGCCAGCTGATGTGGTGTTTAAGTGTCCTTTGTCATCTCACACTTCCCTTCTTCACATCCTCATCAGTTAGTGCAGTTTATTCTGACTGGTCTTCCAGCCACAGGCACCCTCCTCTCCATTCAGCTTTGCATACTGTTGCTGCATTCATTTTTCCAAGGTGCGTTTCCCAGCATATCTTTGCTGTCCCTCTCTCCCCCGCAAGAAGGCCAATTTCGCTGTTTGTGCCGATTTATTTTTACTGTGGAGTCCCAGAATGCCTCTTCCTCTGTTCCATGCAGTAACTACGGTACATTGCTGTCTGTTTTTAAACATGAGCTACTTTTTCCTCCATTTGCATATGTTGTTCCTCTGCCTGGAGGATTTCTCACCCTCCAGCAAGCACACGAAGACCCCACAGGCTCCCCACTGGAGCTCAGTGGGGTCGGGATTCTGTCTTACCCATTTTCAGATTCTGCATGAAACCTGAAATGGTGGTTCGCAGACACTGGGTACCTGGTGAATAACGTATTCAGTTTCCTTTGTGATTGAGAGGAAATGCTTTTCTGCTGCCATTATTAAAGGATTGAAATGTGAATTTAAGAAATGAAGAATTAGAAGCACTCAGGTTCATAGATCAGAAGGATAACTCAGGGAAGCGTCTGAGAGCGTTGGAGGGGAAAGAACATGGAGGCAAGAGGAAGCGGTAGCTAGGCCCTGCAGACTCCTCAGGAGGGAAGGTGCGGGCCTGAGCCGAGGCAGAGACGGGACTGGCAGGAGAAGGCGGGCGGGCCCGGAGACTCCCAGGCTTCTCACGGGTGCTGGGATGCATCTGCTGCAGCCGAGGCTTCAAGAGGACAAACAGCTCAGAGGAGACCGCTGATGAGTTTGATTTAGCTTATACTTAAAGTGCCCAGGGAACAGCTCCTTGCCCAAAACGCAGTTATAATTGGTTCAGAGCTCTGAGGAGAGTTCCAGTCGGGGGTGTAGCTAGGACCCGTGAGCAGGGAAGGTGTGAAAGTTATGAGCAGGGGTGAGTTTGCCCAAGGAGTCCATGTAGAATGAGAAGAGAAGCAGCACAGGGAAAGGGCAAAATCAAGGAGAAGGTAGGAGAGGAGCTGGGAGAACGGGAAACCTATGTGGAGAGGCAAGAGGTGGGTCAGGGGAAGTGGAATCCCGAGGTCCTGAGCACCGTGGGTGGCAGCTAGGATTCTAGTGACCTTGTCCATCACAGTTCCAGTGGCACCAGTGGAAGTGCTCTCCAGGCTTGTGCTGGGTTCATGAGTGACTAGAAGGCGAGGAGGTGGAGCTGGTTACTGTACGTGATACTTTCAGGGCGTTTTCGCCCTCGAGTTTTGGAGAGTCTAAGGGGTGGAGCTGTGTCCTGAGGAAGGTGGGTGGTTGAAGGGTTGCCCTTGATCCCACACAGGAACCTGTTCCTCTGAGAATAAAGGAAAATAAGCTGAGGCAGATGAGGAAGTAGATACGTTTTAGGGAATGAAAACCAGAGAATCACACCTGATCGCTTCAGCTTTATTTTTGCTGTTTTGTTTTTGTTTGATTGTTTTTAAGTAGAGGTTGAGACAGAGTTGGATAGGTGAGTGGGTGGGTGGCTTGGCGAGAGTGAGAAGTGTTGTCACAGCCGTTCCGGGATTGCAGAAGGTGCTGGGCAGGGAGTGCATAGAGGGTTCCCTTGGAGACCAGGAGCAGTCAGTGGCAGGACGCAGCGCTGGTGGGTGACATTCTCCAGCAGTGCTCAGCACTTACCGGGAAGGAGGAGAGAAGACAGGTGGTTGAGTTAATCTACATTTGGAAGTTTACAGGGCAGTTGCAGTGGGTGGCAGGGGTGTGGCTGACGGAAAATGCCTTGGGAATATGACTAGCCAAGGAGGAAAGTTGAGCCATGAGGTGGTGGCGGTGGACTTGGAGAATGAGGAAGATTGAGAAGCAGGGTCAGAGCAAATGACGGCAAGGAGTAGTTGCTGCAGTTGGGCTGTCAGGGTATGGTTGCTGCCAGAGACAAGCCTGGAAAACCTGTGGACCTGCGCTTAGAACTCGAGGAAAGGGGACGTGCAGGCGAAGTCACAGGCCCTGGTCAGGTTTGCTCAAGTGGAGTGTGGGCGATGGGAGATGGTGGAGCACTTGTTGGCTAGGATGGAGGATGGTCTGTGCACCTGGCCCTGAACTTGCCTGTGAGCAGGAAACCAGGCTTCACAGGCTGTTGGGGCAGTGAGGTGGGGACCAAGAGACGGGCAGCTGACAGAAATGGTAACTGGTGAGAGGAAAGAGCCCCCCTCACTGTTCAGCTCACAGATGTAGCTTCGTTTTGTTTTGTTTTTTTAAACGAGGTACATTTTTAAAGTTGCATGCAGTGTGCGATTTTGATTAGAAAAGTTTGGTATTTTAATAATTTTATTCTGTTAAACTTTTGTGAAATTATAGTTTCTCTCTTTTTTGCCCCCATAGGTCTTATTTTGCCGTCTTACAGATGAGCAACATAAAGTCTACCAAAATTTCATCGATTCCAAAGAAGTTTACAGAATTCTCAATGGAGAGCTGCAGGTCAGCCTACTGCCAGAAGCTGTAAAAAAGAATTGTGGACCAAAGGAAGTGGGGAAAGAAAGGAAATGAGTACTAGGCAGGGTTCACTCTTATTCTCTTAACATTTCAGTGCAAACCTTCACTTAGTTTGGAGCCCTTCCAGGAGTAAGAGAACACACGATTAAATTTCAGCACATCCCCTTCTTGGCTGTACTGGAGCTTTACACTTGAATCCAGCACCATGTGGTCTGGTGGGAGAACAGTGCTAGATGGCAGGCAGGGCCTGTGATGGTGAGTCCTCTGGGGCTGCTGACCCTGTGATGAATGTTTAGAAGCAGCGGGGGACTGCTGGGCTCAGCAGGAGCAGGGAGGAGCAATTAATATGATAAACTTCTCCATACTGGCATTTTAGTTATTGGCAGTATTCGGCAATCCATGTGGGTAAATGTCTGTTCAGTAAGTATACATAGTAGGTTTATAATCAGCTTTTAAGTCAAAGCTTCATGTAAATCATTCAACTTCTTTGTGTTCCAGTATCTTAAAATGGGAATTGTGTTTTACTTATCTGACATGTAAGAAAGACTCTCTTAGTCTTTGATGTATCCACGCTGGAGGTACAGCTGAGTATGCTCCAGGATACACACTTTCCTGCTTATACACGGGCATAGATGAAGAGATGGATGCGGGTCACACAAATGCTCTTTTTCCATGACACCTGCATGCTTTTTCTTCCAGATTAAGTCATTTCATTATTTTAATGATCTCTCACAATTTCTTACTTTGTCTTTCATTGGCATATATAGAAGGTTTTTAAATCATTCACATCTATTCATCTCCTAAATCTCCCTTTAACTTTACCTTCATGTGCCTCCAAGTTGTACAGCCCTAGATGGTCTAGATGAGCCCTATCCAGTAGACATAGAATGCAAGCTGCATGTGTGATTAAACATTTTCTAGTAGTCACATTAAAAATTGTAAAAAGTAAAAGGGCAAAATCAATTTTGATAATATATTTTATTTAACCTGATATTTCCTAAATATTTTGATACGTAATCAAAATTTTAAAATTGAGATATTTTACCTTTTTTTTTTTTTTTTTTGTAGTAAGTCTTCAAACATGGTATAGTTGACCTTTGAACACTCCGGGATTAGGGGCACCAATCCCCTCCCTGCCTCCTGCATAGTAAAAAATCCGCTTTTAACCTTTGACTTCTCAAAAACTTAACTATAGTCATCCCTCGGTATTGGTTCCAGGAGCCCCACAGATACCAAAATCCAAAGATGCTCAAGTCCCATATATAAAATGGCATGCAGTCAGCCCTCTGCATCCACATGTTCCCAGCCTCAGATCAAAAATACTGTTTTCAGTCAGCGGTTGGTTGAATCCACAGATGTTAAACCCATGGATACAAAGGGCTGACTGTGTATTTATTGAAAAAAATTTGTGTGTAATAAGGCCCTCGCAGTTCAAACCTGTGTTGTTCAAGGGTTCGCTGTGTTTGATATTTGTGCCCCATCTCCGTTGGGCCCAGCCACACTTCATGAGCCCTGTAAGCCGCATGTGCCTGGTGGTGACTGGAATGGGCACATGGGTCTAGGGGAGGAAAGATGAGTCACAGATAGCTCTTGGGGAGAGTTTTGACAATGTTTCTGATTTATTCAGATCTTTTATTGTGTGTTTAACTTGTTTACTGGGTAAAACTATCATACTTTTTGATTCCTGGCTTAATTTATGATTTATATTTTTCTGCTTGAGCTTTTATGCTGGTGAACTTGATTGGCTCACACTCTGAAAGCTGTGAGATGCATTCCTGTTGGGCAGGGATGGCAGGCACTCCCCGTGTCTGTGTCCTGCTCAGTGAACCCCCCTCAGATCTCTCCCATTGGTGTATTTTCCATGCAGATATATTTTCTGATGTAATATTATATAATATTAATGTAAAAGTAAGTGGAACTTCTTAATCTGTGTTACATACCAAAAAAGTCTCCTTCCTTTCCTTTCCGAGGGAATATGATTTTACATGGCATAATCTGCACATAATCTTTTATACCATAGATTTTCCCTGGACTTATAGCCCTAAGAAAAATCTGCAACCACCCAGATCTCTTTTCTGGAGGCCCCAAGAATCTCAAAGGTATTCCAGATGAGCTAGAAGACAACCAGTTTGGGTACTGGAAACGTTCTGGGAAAATGATAGTTGTTGAGTCCTTGCTGAAGATATGGCACAAGCAGGGTCAGCGAGTGTTGCTGTTTTCTCAGTCAAGGCAGGTGAGTGTCAACCTCATACAGGGAACAAGTGTGTTCTTTTTGACTTACAGTCATTAATTCAAAATATAGGCTATCGTCTAAAATGAGGTTCCAAAAGCAGATCTTCCTGCTGAACTGAGGCAGCAGCCTGCAGGTCTCTGGGAGCTTGGGTCCTTCCCTAGAGGTGGTGTCCAGAAGGTGTCTTTTTAAAAAGGCTTACTTAACCATGGAATTCTGAGCTGTGGATGAGTTTGGGCCTGAGCTCAAATCAATGTCCAGCTATTTACAAAACCTATAAGAATTAACAGTAGGGAAATACCAAAACTACTCTTTAGCAGTTATATTTATCTACTTCAAAGCAAGAAATCCTTTTCTTTTACGCCTGGTGGGAAATTGTGACTGTTTACACAAATGTAGAGGCACTCGCTAGGGGTGTATATTTGATTTTTAAACTCTCATCCCCCATCTTCTCTCCCAAACAGATGTTGGACATACTCGAAGTATTCCTTAGAGCCCAAAAGTATTCCTATCTCAAAATGGATGGTACGACCACAATAGCTTCAAGACAACCACTGATTACAAGATATAATGAGGTAACAAGTGGACGTAACAGGGCAGTCTGATAGGGCTACTCTGTGTGGTCGGCAGGAAGGAGTGTGTCCGCACTCACCTGAGCAGTGCTTCTGTCGGGACTGGGCAGCAGGTGCCGGGCAGCTCTTGGCTTTTAACTCTGTGTGTTTCTGGATTGTGTGTGTGTGTGTGTGTGTGTGTGTGTGTGTGTGTGTGTGTGTGTGCTTGAAACCCAAACTTTTAAATAT